TTCTGATACAAGCCAGGATGCCATTGGCCTTCTTGGCCACCTGGGCACACTGCTGGCTCATGTTCAGTCTAGCATCAATCAACAACCCCAGGTCCATTTCCTCTACGCAGTCTTCCAGCCACTCCACCCCAAGGCTGTAGCGTTGCCTGGGGTTATTGTGGCCAAAGTTCAGGACCCGGCATTTGGTCTCATTGAATTTCATTCCATTGGTTTCAGCCCAGGTATCCAGCCTATCCAGATCCCTCTGTAGGGCCTCACTACCCTCATGCAGATCGACACTTCTAGCCAGCTTGGTGTCATCTGCAAACTTACTGAGGGTGCAATCAATGCCCTCATCCAGGTCATCAATAAAGATATTAAACAGGACAGCCCCAGCACCGACCCCTGGGGAACTCCACTCATAACTGGTCGCCAGCTGGATTTAACTCCATTCACCACCACTCTCTGGGCCCGGCCTTCCAGCCAGTTCCTTATCCAGCCAAGAGTGTACCTGTCCAAGCCACGGACTGCCAGCTTCTGCAGGAGAATGCTGTGGGAGACAGTGTCAAAGGCCTTACTGAAGTCCAGGCAGACTACATCAACAGCCTTTCCCTCATCCACAGCACTGTCCTGGATTATGTGTCTGAAGGCAGGAAGAAGAAAGGCACTGCAGACCCAATACTAAAAGATGAGATAACGGAGTGTCAGTAATGAATCCGTGATTTCTTTCATATCTGCTACTTTTATGACTGTATACCCTTGTAAGTGGAGATAAACCGTCAGGTAAGCCAGTCTACTTTTCGATACCGCATTTATCTTATCAGTATACAGCATCTGACATGCATCTATTAGTTACATTCCTTTGAAAAAATGTCTGGGGAGAAAAAGGCTTTTAGATTAGCACATAAGAAATGAATATGAAATTATACAAAAGATTAACAAGTTCATTTCCTTACTACATCAGGGCTTTTTAAAATGAAAAATAAAACTCTTTCTTTCCTTTCTCTTCCTTTCTGATTTAAGGTAAAAAGTAACAAAAAAGGAAAACTAATCAGTTTATTAGACTAAAAAAGATTATTCAACGAAATTACAGTGAAAGCTGATATTTTCTTAATAGTTTTCAACAAATTGAAAACTGGACAACTGCTCACACAGCTCACATTCTCATTATACTTTCTCAAGGACGGGCTGGGTTAACATCATGAAGTCAGTGAGGCTACACCACAGAACTGGAGGAAATGAAAAGTGAGGCTGCTTTCTGCACATGGGCTCAAAGCAATTTGTCTTATCCACCCCGTTATTATCTGATCTAAAAATTAGGTCAAATCCTGTGGCTATTGTTTAGTCTTTATCAGATGCATTTCCTGGTGGGTTTAATTCTTGCTCACTCAGGCCTCATTCATCCTTTTAATAGGAATTGTCTCTGTTAGGTCTTAGCTGTTCAATGACATCTGCCTTGTTACATAAAATTCACATCAAAACTTTATACTAGGCTTGATGTTTTTCAGCCAAAGAAAAAGGCACCTCAAATCCTCCCTTCCTCTATGTCAATGAAAGTAACTATAAAAAAAAAAAAACCAAACCATGATCAGAAAAACTGTATCAAAACCTATTAGCAACTCCAACACACCTGGCAGGATGTGCCTGAAGTAAATAAGAAATGTGTGAACAAGTAGGAAATGCATTTTAGCACTTTCACAGACCGCTAAGCCAGAGAACGATATTATATTTTTCCAGCTCCACAAAGATGTACATTGAGAGCCCCCACTATGCAGTATACTGTGCTATCAAGAATGAGAGAGTGAAAATGAATCCCAGCATATCTGCTGGTTCAAGAGGACAAAAGGCTCAGCTCTGCTCTCATGGGAAGTCTAATGCCTCAGGAAGATCAATTCCATGGCATACGAAAGAAGCTGAAAATAATGATGTTTCTATCACCTGCTGTTTCTCCTCGTTTTCAGAAAAAGACAGCCCAGAAGGGAGTGGCTTCGTACCCTACACGAACACTTAGAGGAGCCTGGATGTTGGCTTTAGACTGAGACTCTTCCTGTTTATATTGCTAGCATGAGCAGCCTTTAAAATGTAGCAGCATCTTCCCTCCATATTTATAGATTACTCCCTTCCTGAATAACTGAAACTCTTACTTGGCCAGGGCGATGCTGCAATTGATTTTCATAGAGAACTTTCATTGACTGGGTTGTTATATACTTTCTGACACATGCCTGACCCTGCATTAAACAAATACAAGCCACTTTTCCAGGATGCACATTTTTCACACTTTCAAATTACTTTTCAGTTAATTCCATTACACGCTCAGTGAACAGAGATGTTGAATGCTATTTTTTTGTTTGTTTGTTTTAACAGAGTGTGGCTCCAGTCTTTGAGATGACACTGTAATTCCAGAATAAGACCAGTGATCACAGGGGAGAAAAGAGAGAAAGAAGGAGAAGGAAGAGAGGGAGAATGGCAGAATATTTTTTTTCTTAATGTGATTGGAATGGCAAGTTATGCTACAGTTGCAGCTATTGAGATGACACCACCAGGTTTGGGTATAAAAATATGCCATAATTTAGCTTAAGCAGAATACTTTGAATGCTCCATTCACTTCACTGATACATAGAGGTATCAGCACCCCCTTTTGTATGAATTAAAAATGAGAACTGCATTGGTGCCATAAGCATGCAACTACAAATGCAGGCAGAACTGGACACTTCTGCCTCTCCTAAATCTTGGACATCCTTGGTCTTCCAGATTCATAAATACTACACAGACCCTCCCTTATATCCCAGTCTCATGGCACATTGTGTAGAAGACTTTTCAGATGTATTTAAAGTTTAGGTAGGACACAACCATTATAGTACAGATTTGATCCTCTGAAATAAATATTGTGAGTATTGATAAACAAAGATACAGCATAGTTCACTGTTTAAAATAGTAATCTTGCAAACAAAATCACATCACAGAGGGAGGCATGTAGCCTTCATCAGCTGTTCGAGTTCTTAAAAGAGTGGTCCTGAGTTCCCTGAGAAATTTATAGAAATCTGTGAAATTGGAAACAGACAATTCTGCACAGGTGTCTCTACAGTTGTTTGAAAACCTGCAGTCTGACAGCCTAACACTTCAACTCCTAGTCCCAAGGAGTGAAGGTTTTGACTTTGGCTAAGTCAAAACTGTTGAAGAATCCCAAGCTCAGGAACAAATGATAAAATCTACACTAAAATACCAAAGCCATGTTTGAGTGACAAGCGTGTAATACTCCCTAGAATTTCTTTAATTAGACTATTCTAAAAGAAAGCCCAAGACACTACAAAAATCACTAAACTGTTCTTCTCTCTCCACAATATGGTAAGAAAAAGAAGTAAAATCTGTATTATGAGTATTTTTAATAGAAATTTGGACACCTGGGAAGAAATGTCAATTGATATAAAAAAAAAAAAAAAAAAAAAAAAAAAACACAAACTTGTGTATGAGTACAAAGATTATGTTATATATAAAAATTCAGTGCATAGATGTGACAATGCACGGAAGTGATATGTATTTAGAGTTTCTAACTGCATTAATACAGTGGTCATCTGTCACAGGCTAACTGGCAGGACATGAAAATCGACTTAATGAGTTAACACAGAGCTCATAATCTAAAAAACCTGTTCAAACATTGCTAAGCCTCCCTGAAGTGCTGACTGCTTGGAAGAAAAAAAAAAAAAAAAAAGGAATGCCTTTTTTGTTTCAGTACAAAATAAGAAAATAACTGAAGTCTTGAAAAGCTTTCTAGCATATGGAAACACTATATACATATTTAATAGCATTTCTAATCTTTTAGAGTGACCATGTGCAATATTTTTAATTACCTTAACTCTGGAGAAATTCTTCTCTGAGGTTAGTCTTGTGCTCAAAGGTGGAAGTCCTCTATTTCCAGTAAGTTACTTGGAGTAAAAGCATTTGAAAATGTGTATTTGAGAACTTTCACAAGAACAAAACAAGAATAAAGCTCTAAATGAAGAGCTTAAAACAGAAGAGTCATCCTATCAGTCCTTCTTCTAACGTGTCAATGAAAAACTATTTGGCTGGAAGATTTCTCCGTTTTCATTATAAATTGTTAAGGTTGGTGCAGGAAATATAAGTATGCTGGAAACTCAGCTCTTAATGACCTTTTCTCACAAAACGTGTTTTTGTTGAGATGAAAACTGTGGAAGAGATACAATTCTGGGTGAAATATTTTGTTCCCATTATATAAAACAGGATTTGATTGTATGAAACAGGAGTCCCAAGTGTGGCTACTCTATTACAAAGAAAAGCAACTCTTTGAAAATTAATGAACATTAAATATTTGTACAGTCAAATGAAGATCTGTTTTCAGGAAGCTGCCTGCTCTGAGTTCTTGGGGACTAAGCTGGGAGTTGTCCATAATAAACATGGAGGTTAGTAACCGTGAATAACAGTGATGAAGTGTTAGGGCTGAGACAACAGCTTGCAGTCTTATATTACCAATCTCATTACATGATATACTAAACATGTGCTTTTTTTTCTTTTTGTAGCAAAAGTAGCTTTAGATATAAAAGAATGCTTGTCACCTTGTTCCAGAGCTTGCTTTGACAATGTTGCTACTCATTAGCTTCAGACACATGAGACATGTAATTGTTGTACACAGGAAATATTGCTTTTGCTGCTTTCCTCCCACACAAGGGAGAAGAATGAGATCTCAGAATCACAGAACCATGAAAATGTTTGGAGTGGAAAGGACCCTGAGAAATCACATGGTCCAATTCTCCCCAACACCATGGGCAGGGATGCTTTCCACTAGCTCATGTTGTCTAAAGCTCCATCCAACCTAACCTTGAACATCTCCTTGCTCTTAAAAACAGGATAAACAGATTTTTTTTTATGCGTCTGAAGGACTGAACTTTAGTACACATCCATAACGTTAGAAAACACAAAGTTCAGCGTGTGGGACACAAACTCTCTCTCCCAAATGGCAGAGACTCCTCTTTCCCTCACTCCTCCCACACCGGCACAGCACTCACATGCAATGCGGACGTAGGCCTTGCGGCTCTTGGTGGTGCCAGCTGAGCTCCAGGCAACGCACTGGCACCAGTAGTCCTCGGGCCCAAAGAGCTCCTCCACCTGCTGGCGGGAAATCTCGATGCTCACCTCACGGACAATCAGACCTGGGAAGGTACAAAGAGCACTGATCAGAATTATGTATACAGGAAGGAAGAAAAGAAGGATCAGAAGTCTGCTTGCAAGGTTGAGACCTTCTGATGCTCTGCCCATCTTGCAGCAATAAGGATATGAAAGAAGAAAAGCGACAATTTGTTTGCAAAAATACAAGAAACGATAACTGAAAAATAAATCACTCTGATCCTGACTTTTATCACATATCATGTGTCTGTTTGACAAATAAAAGGATAAGCACCTCAGCTGACATAAATTGTATCATGTCCACAGGATGATTTACATCAAATGATGATCCAACTTGGTTTTATTTTCATACAAATATCAGAAAATTATAGAGTCATTAAGCTTATATAACTCCCTTAGCCCTCTTGCATTTTACCTGCTTTGGCTAGTTGGATACGCCATGGGGAGATATCCTGCTCGCTCTGACACTGAACTGCACAGAAAAATAGATTTTGCTATTTTAGAAAATGTCTTGGTGCTCTGTAATGATGGGCACAAGTGTTGCAGCACATTTATAGCAAGATGTCAGTTTGGGGGCTGTTACTGTTACTGCCACACATTCTGGAAATACTGCAGGATTTTTTAGATGATTTTGTAAGACATTTACAATATACTTCAATGTCTGACAGCCTCCCTGGCCACAGTTTGTCTCAGTGCCGTCCCTAAACACATCTGCCCTTACCAGCAGACCACCAGATTTGGCCACATTTCCCACAGAGTACTCTCTGTTGGAAGCTCTTTTACTTCTAAGTGCAAGAAAGTGTTGTGGTATCTCAGATATCACTGCAGGAATTGTTGGTAACGGTAATCATCTAACAGCCACCACTGAACTTCATACCAACACATCCTCTTTCTTCACTTAAAAAGGCATAGCCTGTCCAAAATACTCTTAATCCCTGACAAGATATCAGAAGGAAGGACAGAAAGGAGGTGCATGCACTCCTTGTCAATGTGTTTGGTCTTTGTTGTCAATGCCAAAGTACCAACAAACCATTAACATGTGTCTGCCTGCACAAAACACCATCACCTTTTCAGAATTGTGCTCTCACAAACAGCCTTGAATACAAATTTTCCACAGGCAAATATTTTGTGTAGCAGGACTGATTTTCTCTTTCTTTCTAGAACTGCCAGGAAACTGAATGGCAAGGACCTTGGCTCACAGCCTGCTCAGTGATCTCCCATCACCATATACCAAAGGCTGGGCTATGAGCCCTTCTGCTGAGCACAGTCTTGAGCCCTTTAAGTCCCCCACACAGACTACAAGGTGATATTCATGCTGAGAATGCTCCTGCCTGGATGGCTTGCATGTTCTTCAAGCGAGCCCTTTGATTTTGCCTCCAGCCTCATAGAGGCTCCATTCAGGGAGCTAAGGATTAATTACTGTTTGTACACACCCATGCACTGTCACCGGGGCTCCATGCTGTTTGCTTCCAAAACTCAGCTAACACCAGCAGAAAGGAATTCATGCATGTAATATCACAGGCCTCTCTGCTGGGAATGCCTTCTAATGAGATGCATTTTCCTGCTAGAGACCATCGCAGCCTAGCCCTTTTTTTTTATTTCATTATCCTTGACATCTTCAGCCATTGAATAATCAGATACTTTGGGGAAAATACTTAATAGCTTTCCCCTCTTGAAATGAAATATATAGCAACTGAGCTCAAAGAATGAAAATCAAAGTCGTGTGTGAACACCTGATTTGCAGCAAACACTATAATATAAACTTGTTCTGCTTTGATGAGCTAATTTGGCTGCAGAAGGGGTCTGAGGGGTAGCTTTTGTCCTTTTGAGAAGAGCATGAAGAAAGGAAGGAGGGAACATGTACATTACATGCATAAAATCATTATATTTTCCCTGCGCAACTGCAGTTTGCCTAAAGATTACTTCAATTCATTCCCAGTTTTTATAACACTAGCCCAGGGAGCCTTAGGAGGTTACAATATTATTTTTTTGTAATATGGCTGATTATGACAGGATTTGATGGAACAGTGGACTATGTTACCCAGAGGCTGAGGCAAGCAGGCTCATAATGACAGTCCTGAATAATAGTGATTATGAAATATTTTTAACATCTGTGACACAAACACATTTCTCTGATAGCCTGTTGAAGATACAAACCCACACAAAAACAGCTCCCATTGAACAATACCAGAAGGACATTTTTCTTTGAATTTCCAAGATGTTTCCTAATTCAGAATTACAAACTATCCCACTTAGTATGTTTTGGGAGAGCCATAAAGTACTGATAGGTATCAGGTTATTCAAATTGATTTGGCCTTTGGACATCAAATAATACCAAGAGTTATGTCATGGCCAAACAGGAGCATACCTTCAGCTGCTGCCTCCTTCTGCTTACAAGCAAAAAAAATGTGTCTTTTTCTTTAAGGTGAACTGTTTTTTATAAATTCAGAATCTATCAAAGCAGATGGCGACTTTTTGTTATCACCTGGGATATAAGGATCAATGACCAGAACTTTGGGTGACAAAAACGTAGAAATTCCCCACAGTGATATCTCCACTATATTGATTTGTTCCCTGTGCTGCACAGCAAGCATCTGAGGCATGTAAGGGAATCTGTTGACTGTGCTGCTTTTCCCTCTGCCTTGGCACAAGGAAGGGTGATGCAATCACTCTTTCCCAGGACTGCTCATGGACATCACTTTGCACAAAGAGCCACAATGATTTAGGAGGAACATCTCACCAGCTTCAGACTCTGGGTTAGGCACAGAGGGATATCCTTCTCTTGCTGCATCAAAACGCAACCCTATTCCTTCTGCTAACATGCCTCACCATAACCTGAATAGGAAATGCCTTTTGAGGCTGGGTTACAAAGAAGAAATTTACCAAGGTACTTCAGATAGCAACAGCCTCGTTACCAGCTGACAGATTGCTGTACATCAGATTTCATAGAGAAGGTGGTTCAGTATGTCTGCTTTCATTCAGCAGTATATCGTTCGTACACTTCATATGTAGAGTTAGCACAAGACAGCTTTAGGATGATGACTTCAAACAGTCATCTTCATTTTATTCCTTTCAATCTACTTTGCTATAGTGATAAGCAGCAAAATGTCACCCCCTCTCACACAGTATCTCTTCTATTTTACCTTCTTTACTAGAAATACATTGATACTCTCAGTCTAGCTCTTCACATATAACTACACAGCAAGTGAAGTTATGCAGCATACTTTTACCCTATTTTCTTAAAACACCTGAGCAGGCTGCAAAAATCCAAAATTAAAACAGTTCCTTGCATTGTGCCACAATCTGAAAGAAGTTATGATTTTCCTATTTTAAAGCAATGCAATAATAAACACAACTGAAGGGAAACAACAGGAATGTAGGTAACTAAAGAGCTTGACATCCCTCATAATCTTATGCACAAATCCACAAAGAGCATCAACACAGGACTTCCATCTCCTACTCTGCCTGTGACAATTAACTAAAATGGGAAAGAGAAAGGTATTTGCTTGCTTTATCCAAACTTGATTTGCATTCAGCAAACTGAGAACTGTTTCCGTACCCACTTGCAGCCACTTGAATCTTGGGTGTCTATCACAGGTAAGTGAAGATACTGGGTCTAATTATGACCACCTTATTTCTTGGCAACAAGAAGATTGTGAAGAAAGAAGCTTTGAAACAAAAATACAGAGAATCAATGTAATTTAAAACAATTCTCCAAAATAAATGCTGATTGCACACTGAAAAAATACAATTCCTTAAAAGCACATTCTTGGGTTGCTGGGTTCTTTCTGCATAAGTGTTTCTCTTCTGATCTGTGTGAATGAGGAAAGATTCAGCAGAGTTCCCAAGAGATTAGCAATGTAAGAAGTTTTAGAACTTGAGTGCAAGGAAGGATGAAAATCTTTTGGGAAAAAAAACAAACAGACAAACAGCAACACAACAAAACTAAAAAAATCTTCTTGTTGTCTTCTCCCAGTCCTGAGTATACGGTTCTGGATCAGTTGGGCTACAAAAATGTCAGAGAGCCTGCTCAAGGCCAGGCTACTTAAACACACTGATTAGACTTTTAAAGCACTTAAATATGACATCAGATAAAGATGTTCCATTGTTACGCTTTCCATAAAAAGAAGTCCAAAACCTTTTAGGAGACTAATTATTTAGTTAGGACAGAGGCTGGCTTACGAGAAGGCTCAGAGCCTCACAATAATCAGTTTATGATGGCATTCCACAAATTAAATAGGTTCTCCAAGAATGAAAAGTTCTGCATATTTAGGAGCACAATTTACACAATTATTAATGTCAATAAACTAAATGTATTTCTGAGACTGACACAAGTTGGGCTCCGAAATGGAGCAGCAGGAAACCAGAACTTCGCATATTTTTGTATTTGCATGTTAACAGGAGATGAATGGGTAGAACAAGGCAGAGGGCAACGGGAGCTGTGCTCAGCGTGCCTGCTGCTAAGGAGCACAGCTGCATGAACGTGGGGGAGAGGCATGGGCTAGGGGTACCCATCAAAATAAAATTACTACCCCTCTTGGAGCAAAAGAAAGAGTGGGGAGGAGATTGTGGTTTATATATATACTATCTTATTATAAGCTGTATCCTAGAAACACAATCAAGCCCAGGCATACTCCATTCACACAGTCCCCAAGTGCTTAAGTTATTAGCGGCTCTACAAACTGTGAGCTACATAATCTGGTCTTCAGAGGCAAAAATGTTATCATTTTAAATGTATGCAAATGTAATGTAATTGTATGATATTATGGTACATTATTAGTAACTGCAATAATAACTCATGGGTTCTATCTTGCACCTACTGAAGTAGTTGGCAAATTTCCCAATGATTTTAATTGGAGCAGATATGCCAGTCAGAGCCATTTCTTTCCAGAGGGAAACAAAAATATCTTATAAGGTTCTGCAAATGTATATGACTGCTTATGGTGAGAAATGATCACAGTAAACATCTGAAAACATCAGAATATTAGCAATTAATCAAATGCAATTTTCCAGTCCGGAGTCAGTT